AGATCATCAATCACTTACCATAAAAACGAGTCTAGAATATTATTATTTATAAGACATTAAGACACGGCCGCTCAACAGAGGGTAAGGTGTTCTGGTTTTGAAGCTCTTTCTTAATTTCTCATCTTCAGCTTCCGACGCTGAATGTCAGAATTAATTATGGGTCACATTATATTAACACAAAGCCTCTACCATTCTTTCAGAAATATTATTGCAACACCCCTGCAAGAATCAGAGTAGCGTGTATAACTTTCCACCGGGAATAGTATTGCCAGTCTAACTGGTGCAAAAACCTGGGAGCAGGTTCCCTGAGAGTCCAGGGAGGCTGCGGCCCGAGGGGCACCGCAGGGGCACAGCTGAGTGAGGATGGACCCAGGCGGCACTTTGCGGGAAGCCCCAGCACCTGGCTCCAGCCCGGCACGCGCCTACTCGTGGATGAGGACACGGCCCCGCGGGACCGTCGCCAGGACACGTGCTTGGATGTCGGTGGGTCAGAGCGTGCACAGTTGCTCCCGTCTGCTTCCCTGCTGAAGCCCCCCCTGCAGCCCCCTCCCGGGTTTTGCTGACAACGGGGAGAGGGGAGGGGCTGGGGAAAGCCCACGGAGGCCCCCGAAGGGCCAGAGCTGGGCGCCAGCCCCGCCTCCCTGGCGGGGTGACAGCGGACAGAACTCTGCGTGGCTCTTGTCCGGGCCCTGGTGAGGCCCGCAGGCCGCGGGGGGTCCCCACGCCCAGCTCTGCAGGGCCCTTCACCCACAGTCCAGCCGGGCGGAGCGCCCACCGAGCGTGGCTGTGTCTCTGAGGAGGACTTTGGTTTGCCCGCGGCGTCTCCTCTGCAGCTCGGGACCCACAGGACTTGGCTCGTGAATCGCTGACCGCGCTGGGAACTGTGAGGGAGCCTAGAGGCAGAGGCAGAGCCTGGGGCTCGCCTTAGACCATGCACCGCGCTCATCACACGGCCCTGGGACCAACAGGCGGGAGCGGGCCAAGGCGGGGCGTTCCAGGCTCTGGTGGAGCAGGCGGTAAGGCTGCAGGGCCTGAGGTCACGAGAAGCGAGGGGAGACCCCCCAGCGCCCGGGGCTCTTGGGGCAGAGCAGGGCTGGGGTCAGCCGCGGGGCCCAGCCTGGTGGGGGAACGGGGTGGGGGGGCACCGAGGGGTCGGGGACAGGAAGGGCTGCACGGGGCCCATGTTCCAGAGGCAGCAGCAACCGCTGGCCTGTGGAGGAGCGCGCCTGCGCTCGGGGTCAGGGCGGCTGGTGTGTGTGTGTGCGTGTGTGTGTGTGTGTGTCTGTGTGTGTCTGTGTCTGTGTCTGTATGTGTGTGTCTGTGTGTGTCTCTGTGTGTGTCTGTGTCTGTGTCTGTATGTGTGTGTCTGTGTGTCTGTGTGTGTGTGTGTGTGTGTGTGTGTCTGTGTGTGTGTGTCTCTGTGTCTGTGTCTGTATGTCTGTGTGTCTGTCTGTGTCTCTGTGTGTGTGTGCCTCTATGTGTGTGTGTCTGTGTGTGTCTGTGTGTGTCTGTGTGTGTCTGTGTATCTGTATGTCTGTGTGTGTGTCTGTGTGTCTGTGTGTGTGTGTCTGTGTGTGTCTGTGTATCTGTATGTCTGTGTGTGTGTCTGTGTGTCTGTGTGTGTGTGTCTGTGTGTGTCTGTGTATCTGTATGTCTGTGTGTATGTCTGTGTGTGTGTCTGTGTGTGTCTGTGTATCTGTATGTCTGTATGTGTGTGTGTCTGTGTGTGTGTGTGTCTGTGTGTGTGTGTCTCTGTGTCTGTGTCTGTATGTCTGTGTGTCTGTCTGTGTCTCTGTGTGTGTGTGCCTCTATGTGTGTGTGTCTGTGTGTGTCTGTGTGTGTTTGTGTGTGTCTGTGTATCTGTATGTCTGTGTGTGTGTGTGTCTGTGTGTGTGTGTGTCTGTGTGTGTGTCTGTGTCTGTGTGTGTCTGTGTGTGTGTGTCTCTGTGTCTGTGTCTGTATGTCTGTGTGTCTGTCTGTGTCTCTGTGTGTGTGTGCCTCTGTGTGTGTGTGTCTGTGTATCTGTATGTCTGTGTGTGTGTGTGTCTGTGTGTGTGTCTGTGTCTGTGTGTGTCTGTGTGTGTGTGTCTGTGTGTCTGTGTCTGTATGTCTGTGTGTCTGTCTGTGTCTCTGTGTGTGTGTGCCTCTATGTGTGTGTGTCTGTGTGTGTCTGTGTGTGTCTGTGTATCTGTATGTCTGTGTGTGTGTGTGTATCTGTATGTCTGTGTGTATGTCTGTGTGTGTATCTGTGTGTGTCTGTGTATCTGTATGTCTGTGTGTGTGTCTGTGTGTCTGTGTGTGTGTGTCTGTGTGTGTCTGTGTATCTGTATGTCTGTGTGTATGTCTGTGTGTGTATCTGTGTGTGTCTGTGTATCTGTATGTCTGTGTGTGTGTGTGTCTGGGTGTGTGTGTGTGTGAGTGAGCACACATCCCACCCCTGTGTGCCCTGGGGGCCCCCGCCCCTCCCTGGACTCTATCCCCGGTGGGATCAGTCCTGATTTGGTACCCAGGACTCCCTCTGTCTTGGCCTTGGGAGGATGGTTCCTCTGCCCACGTGTCCTGCTTCCCTTTCAGTGGGAGCAGAGACCTCCCCTCCCCCCAGGCCCATCCTCTGGACATCTCCCCCTGGCCACCTCCTGGGGACCAAAGGTCCCAGTCTGGATTCTCCATCTTCATCCTAAAGCGGCCCCTCCTCCGTGTCCTCTGCTCACGGGACCTCTCGGGGCTCACCCGGGTGCTGGGACTGCTGGAATGATGATGGTGACAGTGTTTCAACCCCTTCCCATCTGGGTGTCTTCTGGAAGGAGATTTGGAGCGAGGATGACAGTTCTCTGGGTCCTGCTCCCAGCGTGCCCAGCACAGCCTTCCAGGTCCTGGCCTCGAGCCTTTCCTTCCTTCCTTGTGGGATCGTTGCTGGGGTAACAGCGAGCAGGGCTGTTACCTGTTCGGCAGATGGGGAGACGGGATGGCTGGCTCACACCCAGCTCTGCCGGCTCCTCATGTTGGGCGCACTCGCGTGGCCCGCCCTCTGAGGGCTGCAGGGTGCCCCCCATCCCCCTGAGTCCTGGCCCAGGTCCCCTTCTGTCCCCTGGGTATGGGGACCCCTGCTCACCATCTGCCCAGTGAGTGGACGGGACTCCAGACCCTGGCAGGGCCCGCTCCTTCCCTCTGACGTTAGAATTTGCCCTTGTCTTCTGTTAGCGATGTAGCAGAGCTTCGTTTCTTTAGAGTGGAGAGGGAGGAAATTAACTCTGCTTTCACAGCTTCCCAGCGCCGTGGGGGATGACCGAGGCCCTCTGTGGGCGGCGCTGGGCAGAGAGAGCTGTCCCCATGCAGGCACTACCTATTGGTGGAGAGGGAGGAAATTAACTCTGCTTTCACAGCTTCCCAGCATCGTGGGGGATGACTGAGGCCCTCTGTGGGGGGCGCTGGGCGGGGAGAGCTCTCCCCATGCAGGCACTACCTATCGGGGAGGAAAGTCCGTGGGAGGACTCGGAGCTGGGGATGGAGGTCCCGACACATCTCGAATGACGTTCAAGTGCCTCCGTCTCCACTGTTGCCGCCCTGGTCCTGGGGTCACGGCTGCTACGGTCCTTTCATCCATGTGGACCAAGGTCCCTGAGGAGCGTGAGGATTTCAGCTGGACCCCGGGGCATCACTTGGTGGGTCACAGGCGGGGGCTCTGATGACATAGTATGGTTTTCACGCAAGGGCAGCCCAAGCCATCTGATGCATGTGCTTAGAACAGTGGAGCCTCGCGTGTGGGATGTTGGCTGAACGACCTGCAGAACCTTGGCCCGTCCATGGGGTTCCATGGAAGCCTGGAAAAGCAATGTCCGCAGTGGCCCCCCCATGCCTCATCAGGAAGGAGTGCGGGGCTGCCCTCCCGAGCCTGGCTGGCAGTGGTCTGCCCGGCTTCTTCCAGGGTCCCAGGGCACGCAGTCCATCTGGGAGTCTAGATGGGGCGGGTAGGGCGCACAGCTGAGCACCTACAGCAGCCTGCGCCTCTTCCTTCCTGAAGCCACAGGGCCCCGTGTGGGACCCATGGGTGGGCAGAGGGGCCTGGGAACGAGCCACCGCGTCCTGGGAGACAGAACTTCCACCGCTTCTGCCGACCTTTCTTCTTGACCTGAAGGCATCGTCCTGCCGTGGAGTTCGGTCCCGACCCTGGGGGCCCCCTCCCCTCGTCCACCAATCCCACGCAGCACACACAAAGCCCTCCGCGGGGGTGGGGGGACTCTGGGCCTGAAGGTAGGCTCGGCCAGGGTCTCTCCTAACAGAAATCCCACCTCCAGTGAGGCAGGGAGGCTGGAGCAGTGCTCACGTGTCTGCAGCAGGAAACTCTGGGGAAATCCTGCAGTGAGACTTATGGGGGAAAGTATCTGATCAGTGAACCCCCGTTGGAAACCATCCGTTAGCAGCTCAGAGTTTGTTAGCAGCTCAGACGTATTTGTTAGGAAACGTTGACCTAAAATTAGAAACAGTTTCTGCCCAATGTATTTTTCACATTTACTTTACTCAGGCTCTCGATCATGTTTAGGTTATTCATTTCAGTACATCTGTGCCTCTAGTCTTGGACCAGACACCTGCCTCCCACTTTGTATGAATCGCACGGCCATGTCCCTGTCTCTGGAGCAAGTAAAGAGTGTTCTTCCACTGGAAAGTCCTCTCTTCCCTCCACCTCTGTCTGTCTAGCTCTGTCCCTCCTTATCAGCTGCCTGCATCTAAGTTCTGCATGCTGCCTATCTTTGACTGTCATTGTCTGTCTGTCTATCTCCCCCACGTTCACACATTCTCACATCTCAGGGACCATGGCATCACGGCCATGGGACCACAGCCCACTCAGCAGCGATTCGTGGTCAGAGTGGATAACCAGGGCCCACGGGGAGCCCTGGCTCCCGCTGACTCCCTCCGGGTGGAAGGTGCAGCGTGACCCTCCTCAGTTAAATGCAGGAGCCCAGGGAGGCCAAGCGGCTTCTGAGCGGCTCCGAATGCTACACACGAGGCGAGGTCCGTCCCCGAGCAGGGCTGGCCCCGAAGGCGCGATGAGGCCCTGCTGGCCCAGCCGGCCTCTCCAGCTCTGAAGGCCGCTGGGCCGCTCGCTGGGACTGGCCGGCCTCATGGCAGAGGCGGCCCTGGCTGCTCCCAGGGTCATTTTTTTACGGAACGTACGTGACTTCCGATGCTGTGTTAGTCTCAGGTGCACATCACAGTGACTCAGCAACACACACGCATGCGTCCTTTCCCAGATTCCTCCCCATCACAGGCTGTTACAAAATCCTGAGTACAGTTCTCTGTGCTGTACGGTAGATCCTTGTTGGTTATTTACTTTATATATACTAATAGAAGTGTGTGTGCTAATTCCAGACTTCTAATTTATCCCCCCTACATCCGACAGATCATAGAAAACGCAAGAGAGTTCCAGAAAAACATCTACTGCTTTGTTGACTACACCGAAGCCTTTGACTGTGTGGATCACAGCAAACTGGAAAATTCTGAAAGAGATGGGAATACCAGACCACCTGACCTGCCTCCTGAGAAATCTGTATGCAGGTCAAGAAGCAATAGTTAGAACTGGACATGGAGCAGTGGACTGGTTCAAAATTGGAAAAGGAGCATGTGAAGGCTGTATATTGTCATCCTGCTTATTTAATTTCTATGCAGAGTACATCATGTGAAATGCCAGTCTGGATGATACACAAGCTGGAATCAAGATTGTCGGGAGAAATATCAATAACCTCAGATATGCAGATGACACAAACCTTATGGCAGAAAGCAAAGAGGAACTAAAGAGCCTCTTGATAAAAGTGAAAGAGGAAAGTGAAAAAGTTGGCTCAAAACTCAACATTCAGAAAACTAAGATCGTGGCATCTGGTCCCATCACTTCATGGCAAATAGATGGGGAAACAATGGAAACAGCAAAAGACTTTATTTTTCTGGACTCCAAAATTGCTGAGGATGGTGATTGCAGTCATGAAATCAAAAGACACTTGCTCCTTGGAAGAAAAGCTATGACCAAACTAGACAGCATATTAAAAAGCAGAGGCATTACTTTGCCAACAAAGGTCCATTTGGTCAAAGCTATGGTTTCTCCAGTGATCGTGTATGGATGTGAAAGTTGGACTACAAAGAAAGCTGAGCTCTGAAGAATTGATGCTTTTGAACTGTTGTGTTGGAGAACTCTTGAGAGTCCCTTGGACTGCAAGGAGATCCAACCAGTCCATCCTAAAGGAGATCAGTCCTGAATATTCATTGGAAGAACCGAAGTTGAAGCTGAAACTCCAATGCTTTGGCCATGTGATGTGAAGAACTGACTCATTAGAAAATACCCTGATGCTGGGAGGGATTAGGGGCAGGAGGAGAAGGGGACGACAGAGGATGAGATGGCTGGATGGCATCACCGACTCAATGGACATGAGTTTGAGTAAGCTCTGGGAGTTGGTGATGGACAGGGAGGCCTGGCATGCTGCAGTCCATGGGGACGCAAAGAGTCGGACACGACTGAGCGACTGACTGACCCCTTTCCCCATTGGTAACCACAGGTTCATTTTCTAAGTCGGACCTCGAGGTCTCTTCCGACCACTCCCTGGCTCTTTGAGTCCATTCTTAATACAGCTGCTAAGCTTGCCCACTGGAAGCACAGGTCAACACGCTTGACCCAGACCCCACGCCCCGTACTCAACCCTGAGATCTTCCTGGGGCCCCTGGGTCTCCTGCAGCCTGGCCCTCCTTTGTTTGGTATTGTGTTTCCTGAAGTCTCCTCTGGCCAAGACCAGCTCTCCTTGGCCTGCTGCCGGAGCCCCAGTCTTAGTTCCCTTAGGGCTTCAAAATCACGGAACCTTGTTAGGATGAGACAGGCGGCACATGTGCCGCTGACACAGACACAGGCCACTGTCCCGGAGGTTCATCAAACGGTATTTCAGTTTTACGTCAGGCTAAGCGCCCTTCCAGGCTGTGGTTCCACCCCCAGGCCCCGCCCCGGGAAGGAGAAGAAAGGGAACGCTCAGAGCAGGTGCCAACACCTGGTCCCCCATCGCTCCATCAGGGCAAGGCTGCAGCCACTGCTCCCCGGGCCGCTCTCAGAGCAAAGGCCCCCGCCTGTCCAGTCCTTACCACCCCCCTGGGGGGAGGTCAGTGGGGAGGGAGGCCGGGCGGGTTTGGGGCCTCTCCTGGGATGCAGGCTTCCTGCCCACCACACTGTCCCTTCTGCCCCCATGGCCTTCTCATGGGTGGCCCTCCAGGAGGACAGCTGCCCCATCTCCACGCCCCATCACACCTCTGACACTATGCGTCTCCCAGACCTTCCTCCGATCCTAAAGTCCACCACCCGCTGCGTTTGCTTACTCTGCTTCATGGTCTCTGCAGCTTCAATCACCAGCTCAGAGGACCTTTTGTCCAAACGTCCATCCACTTGTCCTTATGTCCCACCAGACACGGGCTCTGTCAGGGCAGGGACTCAGGGTGGACGTCGGCTGGAGAGGAAGTGGTGGATGCCGGATCCACAGGCCTTCATGGGCTCTGCAATCGTGAAGACCCACAGCCCTCATGGATGGAGTTCTAGGGGTTCAACTCCTCATCCGACCAGGTCCCCAGTGGGTAACACATCTGGGCAGTGTGCGCAGAGATGCGGTGAAGTTAACATCGCTTCTTGGCCGACCCTGAACGACTTGGCGTGGTCCCCACCTACGCTACCCGGGGCGGGGCACTCAGCCAGCCACAGAGACACGCTCCCAACAGCTGCCTTCCCGACCGGGAGACCCGTTTCTTTTTCTTTTAAAAAATATAGCATATTTGATTTTTTTAGGAATTTTGCCTGGGAAGCTTGGGAACTATTTTGGTTCTTAGCAAATAAATTTGTGCAAAGGGGGAATAGGCTTATGGATTTTCCCAGTATTTTCTAAGTGGTGTTTTAAACTGTTTTTTCTATAGTGCAAATTTTGTCCTAGTAAAGTGTAGGACATCTGGTCCAATATGAAGGTGAAATAGATGGGCCCTGTCTCAAAGAAATATAATTCAAGCCATGTGGGTAATTTAAAATTGCGTAACAGTCATATTGAAAAAAAGTCAAAAGAAACAGAAGAAATTGATTTTAATATATATTTTATTTCACCCAGTACATCCAAAATATTATTAATTTAACATGTACCTAATATAAAAAAGTGTAACAAGATCCTTTGCATTCATTTTTGTACTAATTCTTTGAACCGTATGTCACACCCACAGCCCGTCTCAGTCCAGACCAGCCACATTCCAGCACTCCATGGCCGTGTGGGGTCAGCGGGCCTGGGCAGCCCCCCACAGCTCCGGAGTGGGGGCAGGCAGGCAACCTGCCAGCCTCGGGTGTAGCCCTGGAGCCAAGAGTGGAGTTTACCTTTTTTAGCCGGTTGCACCAAGAAACACAGAAGGAGATGCTGTAGGGACCACAGGTCGTGACGTTTGGGTTTATCAGTTACTTTTAAATCGAGTTCATCGATATACATTTGATTTTTTCTCGTTTTTAATTTTAGCAGAAAATATAGGTAGATGCAGCTCATAGACACAAAGCTCTGCAGGGGTTTAAGAATCACGTCCGGTCTGATCCCAGGTGAGGTGACAACGTGCCCAGAGAGACCCCAGAAAGTAAGGCAGGACCAGCCGATGCCACGTCCACCTCCCGGGACCCCCTCACCAGGCGCCGCCTCACCTGGGGCCCCATCCGTCATCCCACACCACCCCACCCGGGGGCCCTCGCGCTGCCCACCGCCCTTCTCCGACGGCCTTCGAGCCCCAGCACTTCTTGTCGCAAGGGTTAAATTAGAAGCTTGCTTCCCGTACACTGCGAGTCACGGCCACGAAGCGCATCTTCTGTTTAGTCGGGTTTTCCTGTGGCTCTCAGGCTCTTTGCGGGCTTCAGCGCTCCCTGCCTGTGAAGCCTGTCGCTGGTCCCGCTGGGAGAGCCCCTACGGGTCTGAAAGGAGGCCTCATCTGCACCCACGTTTACGAGACGACAGATAGTTATCACTTAGGTCTTAGGTGACCAAACTTGCCAGCGTATTATTAATTTTGTATTAAAATCATCCTGGCAGGACCTGAGACAGTGTGCCGGCCCGAAGCAGGGGCTGGACTGGGGGCTCTTGGCGGCATCGGGCAGCTTTCAATCTGAAGAGCTTTCTTCCCGGGAAACTCACCTAGGAAACCTGTGAGGTGGCTCTGACTCTTGTGGGCCGGCCCCCACCCCTGCCCCCACCTCGCGGACCCCACTGGCTGGCCCACAGAGACAAGCTCAGCCAGTTCTCAGGACGCCTGTGGGCACCAGGCCGCCCTCTCTCAGCCGCCCTGGGCCCTGGGAATCCCTGGCTTCCCTTACCCCATCTGGGCACCAGAGCCCTGAAGGTTTTCTCCAACATCTTGGCGTCCCTGGGGGGACTCACCCCTGGGGAGACCGTGGGGGCTTTGGGGAGCCCGAGAATACCCTGGACACCACCCAGCACTTCACAGGAGCTCATCTCCTAGTGCTAACAAACGAGGGCTTGGACCCACTGGCCAACAGGGCACTTTGCTTCAGCAATGTCATTCCTGCTCAGGTGCGGGAGGCTCGGCCAGTCTGGAGGGAGGCCTTGAGTGAAGAAGGTACGGCTGGGGAAGTTGTTTCATGTTCCATCAGCCCAGCCCATCACGGCCTCCACTGATGGAGCTGGCCGAGTGGCGGGGGACGGGTTGGTGTCCTGCCCCAGCCCTTTCTTCCGGTCAGTGTGCGGGGTCCACAGGGCGGGAAGTCCCTGCTGACCGTGGACTGTCTGCTTCCAATGGTAATTACAAACTCCACTTGGTCAACAAGAGCCGCTCGACTGGGAGGTCACATACGCCGCACGCCCAGGGACTGGTTGGCCAGACCTGGGAGTGGACTCTGGTGGGTGGGGGGCTGCTCCCCATGCTCTAGACTAAAGCCGTTCTCAAGGCGAGCCCAGCCTGCGGCATCGGCACTGCTGGGAGCTTGGTGGAGACGCAAACCCTCAGGCCCCTGGGACTCTGAGGTCTGCGGTCCGGCACCCTGTGTCTAGCCATCCCCCTCCGTCCACGGGCCTTTCCAACCCCAGAGAGCCTCCCTGAGGGTCAGGGTGGATCTCGTGTGCAGCTGGGACC